TCAGAAGGTCTCCGCAACTGCATTTTTACTGTTACTGGTTCCGTTATAGCTTTGCAATATGGTGGAGTCTTGAAAACAATGGCTACTTGACGGTGTACATCAGCTTGTGAAAAGATACCTTTTGCTTCCCAGTCATTCAACACAAACCGAACTTCTATGTCATCTAGTGAATATGAAAGCAAAGAAATATCAATGGGAAAACAAAGTAAAATGTATCCATTAATCTAAAATATATTCTGAATTCAATGAAATAAACAAAAATAAATAAATACCTTTTTGAACTTTGTCACAGAGTAGAAATATTTCATCTCCTCCTCTGACACTTCCACAGTTCTTGTTAACACGACAAATCCTTAACTCTGCAGTATTAGGAGCACCTAAATATGAAGAATTTTTTTAGTGGGTTGCTACCTTAGTAATACATTTTATTCATTTTTGATGTAGAGAATTTTAGGAAAACAAATTATAGAATAAACAAAAGCTTTATTTACTGTATAAATAAATTAAGGACACTAAATACATTAATCATCCACATTTGTCTCTTTCCTTTCTAACTGCATTGCCCAACCTGCTACAGAGCCTTGTGACTTCATTTCTAGGCAATAATAACATGTCCTCTAATTAAATCTTCCTGCTTCTAAATTCTGATTCTTCCAACCCATTCTACACACTGACACCAGATTAATCTTAAATTATGACCACAACCCTATAGCAATGCAATTTTCATGCTTCCTATCATCTGGCCAATATTATTCCAATAACTCTCCATGACATTCAAAGCTCTCCATAAGAATATTCCGATCTACCTTTATAGTTGTATGTCCCATTATCTTCTACATGCAAAACAGGTATAGTCATATACGACCGGTGATCATATATAAGAGTATAAACACAAACACACACACACACACACACACACACACACACACACACACACACACACAGAGGGCAATTTCATAATCTTTTAAAACTATAAATATCTGTATCCTTTGACCTAGCACTTGCCAACATTTCTCCTTCTGCAAATTTATGTATGCTAGAGATCTACATGCACATTCAGGATATTTATTGCAGTATAATTTGTTAGAGCAAAAAGAAAAAAAATTGAGAAGGAAACAAACCAAATGTCTTGTAATAGGGTAATGACTTAATAAAATTATGATATAGCCATATAAGGAAATATGCAGCTACTGAAAAAGAATAAGGTGCCTGAAAGGGAAAGAGATTCAAGATATTGGGCTGTTGGAAAAGTCATGACGCATTTTTGCAATGAAAAAACAGAAAAAATACGTCATGACTTTTCCAACAATCCAATATATTGCAAAGAGGAAAAAAGATAAGTTAAAAACAGGTCAATGATGATTTTTTTAAAAGTTGCCAAGAATATATGCGTGAATGATGATGATGTATTTGTATATACATGAAGAAAAAACTGGTGAGATATGTGCCTGAGGACAGTGGTTATCTTTGGAGAATGAGGTTCGAGGGGATTTACTATAGGAGAATAACCCTTGTTATTTATTTCAGGAATGTTTGAATTTTTCCTACAATAAACATACTGTTTTTCTAATTACCAAAATACTTTTAAGAATTAAACTATATATATAAAAAAACAAGCTAAGGCTACAAATACAAGAAAATAAAGTACTTACGGTTGTCATAAATTGGGTTAGAAACCACAGGAGGTAGAGCAGTTGTCAAATTACCATGTTCATCATGGAGGAAAACTTGGAAACATAATCTCACCACATTGAGGTCGCAATCTTCAGTATCAAGCAGCTGTGCTTCAGGGACTGAATGGTACATTAAAAAAGAATGGAGAATAATCACATAGAACTAAAATCCTGCTAGGTCCTCCTCCCTGCCCAATATGTCCAATAACCTTGAGTAGCACCCAAATCTGCACTAACAAAAATGAAATACCTGTTATCATTAGTATATCATATAGTCACTAACTAACAGTATTCATTAAGTTATGGCCATGGTCAGATGTAACTATCCCAGTTATCTAGAATTTAAGGCAGAATCCCAAATTGACATTAACACTAAATTTTTACAAAAATGGTTGCAGGTTATATACAACAGAGAATAGGCATTCATTCATTAATTCAACAAGCACATATTTAGTCCAGTTATTGTGTTAAGGACTATCTCCTAAACCTGTACAAGAATGACTATCATCCCCATTTTACAAATGAGGAACTGATTTTAAAGAGATGAAATTACTTGTCCAAAGTTTCATAGCTAACAAGTGGTAGAGCAGTAAGTAATTCAAACTCAAGTCATTGAATCTAGCGTCTATGCTCTTAAAAATTGAACTTTATTAGAAAATTTTACACATTTTGTATAAAAATGACAAAAGGAATATCTACTAAAATTTAGATCAATATTTAGGGATTAAATACCAATAGGATACTAGAATATATAATATAGCTAGCTTCCATAAGAAATTTTACATGCAAAGACAAACACGACAGAAAGAAAATTTTAGTTTTAAAAAAATATAAAAACCCATTATTTATGAAAGAATATAATACAATGAGTTGGTTAAATTGACATATAGCTCTCTTACACATTTAAAGTTTTTTAAAAATCTTACATGATTATCCTCTCTGCATGCCTCTTCTAACCTATTATGGTTAAGTTCCATGAAGGCAGATTGGGTGTGTGATGCATGTTTGCACTTCCACTAATCATGGAACATAGTGGTTTACATATAATAAATATTTATTAAATAGTTCCTTAGTGAGTGACTGAAGAATTAAAGAAAAGGCCTGTTGAACAACCAAACATTTCGACATTTTCATAAGTTGCTGTAGAAAACTGTAAAGAAAAATCAACAAAGGGAGATTCTACTTTTGGTAATGGCAGGTGACACATGTAATCGGGACCAACTCTACTGTGAGAACTAAAACAGGTGCACAAAATATAAAACAAAAATCCTCTAAAGGCACCAAAGAGCTAACAAGATCATGAAGAATCATGAGGCCAAGATATGAAATAAAGAAACTGTAAGAAAAACATTCCTGTTTCTCTCTACTCACTACTCACCAATACTTCTGATGTATACGTGCCACATAGCAATTCTCCAAACTCTCAGGACACCAACGGTGTGTACTACAATTTAACTAAATTCTGACAGTAACCACCTGGAGTTAGCACAGATCCCACAAGTAAGGTCTCAAGCCCCCAAGACTGCTCCTTCCCACACATATGTAAGACACCAATCACAAGTCCAGGTTATCACCTATGCTTCTGACGGACTGGCTACAAAAATGGGGGTTCTATGACCCACTCTTTGGGTTTGATAATTTGCTAGAATGGCTCAAAGAACTCAGGAAAACAATTTACATACTGGATTATCAGTTTATTATAAAAGGAAACAAGTCAGGGACAGCCAAATAGAAAAGATGCACAAGGAAAGGTATGTAAATATGGCAAGGAGCTTTCATGCCCTCTTTGGGAATGCCATACTCTCAGCACCTCTGCAGGTTCACCAACCCAGAAGCTCTTGAACCCCTTCAATGAGGATTTTTATGGAGGCTTCATTTCATAGGCATGATTAATTAAATCATCGGATACTAGTGATTAATTCAACCTCTAGTCCCTCCTTTTCTAGAGGTAAGTGGATGAGGTTGAAAATTACAACTCTCTAATAACATGGTTGGTTCCCTCTGGCAACCAGAGCCCGCCATCCTTAGGGGTTTTCCAAAAGTCACCTCATTAACATAAACTCAGATGTGTTTGAAAGAGGTTTGTTATGAAGACAAAGGACACTCTTTTCACCTTTTTTTACTCCTATCACTTAGCAAATTCCAAGGGTTGCAGGAACTCTGTGTCAGGAATGGGGATGAAGATCAAATACACAGTATTTCTTATTATAAATCACAGTATCACAAAAACCCAGAGAGGTAAGTTCAGAAGAAGAAGCCTCTTTTTTCCAGATATATATAGCCTGCCAATTTTGTAAGAGGTGGCTAAGAGGATGAGAAGTTGAGATGAACTCTCAATAGACTATAGGGAAAAAATAGGAGTCTGCCAAAGATGGAGAACCTAATAAATGCCCAATGCTTTGGTTGGGGCCTCAGAGCTGTATCCTAGGAATAAGGGTGAACTGGAAAGATACCAGACCTCACAGGGATGAAAGCCTAGTTTCAAATAACTTAAATCACTCACTGATTTTAAGTGATCTGCGAACGCTAGTGACTAGCCACCTACCGTAAGAAAAATTTCTGGAGGGAAATAACACCCTAGGCCAAAAATCTTTACAGTTTTTAAAAAATGATGACTGGTATTCTATATGACTAGTCTATTTTAAATAAACAGGTATATGAGGAGACAAAATAAGGTGAGTTTAAAAAAAAAAAAAAGCAAAAGGAAAGAAAAAACAGACTATAGAAGTAGACCACGAAGGATCCAAATACTGAAGTTTTCAGACACAGGACTTAAGATAACTACACTTAACGTATTCAAGGAGTTCAAAGACAAGATTGCGAATTTATTAAAGAAATTGAAACCATTAGAAAGGAACCAAACAAATTCTAGAACTGAAAAATACAATAAACTGAAATTAAGAATATTCACTTGAAACCTATATAATTTTACTAACCAATGTCATCCCAATAAATTTAATTAAAAAAATCATTAAATTTATCAACTGTTTTATTAAAATTTTTTTGTGTGTCATCTTTCTATACCCCAAGAGCTAAAATCTATTTACCAATATTTTCTACCAAGAGGTTTTAAAGTGTTGATTTACATTAAAGTTTTTAATCCATTTTCAGCTGATTTTTGTATACGGTGAGAGGTAAGGAACCCAACATAAATAACCATTTTTTCCAGCTTCATTTATCAAATATTTCCTCCCTTTCTCTTGATCTGACATGCTGCCTCTATCACATACTAATGTGTCAGATTTTCTTAGATCTGTTTTGGGTTCTTAATTCTACCCCACCAGTCAATCTGTCTATTGTTACCCCAATACCACGCTGCCTTAATTAATACTTTCTTCATAATAAACACTAATATTTGATAAGATCAGTTTCTCATCACTATTCCTCCTCTATCAAGTATCTTCCTTTTCCTGTCTGGAATCATCTTATCATATATTTAATGAAAAATCTTGTTGGGAGTTTGTCTGGAATTGTACTGAATCTGTTTATCAATTTGGGGGGGTGGAAATTCCATCTTTATAATATTGACATTAGAGAACATGATATACCTCTCCATCTAGTCAGGTGTTCTCTATTACCTCATAATACAAGTTTATAATTTTCCCTAAAGAAATCTTGATCATTGTTTCTTTCATGTGTTGCTATGTACTTTATATTTTCTAACAACACTTCTTTTAATTATTTGCTGCTGATGTACAGAAATAAAACAATTTTGTATATTAATTTTACATTGTTCACCATTTTAAGTTTATTATTTTAATAATCTACTTGTATATCCTTTTGAGTTCTGTAAATAATAGCTTCCCATAATTACAACTTTATTTCCTCATCTTCAGTCAGGTACACTGCACTGGCTACCATCTCCACTACAATGCTGAGTAGAAGTGGCAAGAGTGCACATCCTTTTCTCATTCCTAATTTCAAAGTGAATGCTCTGATGTTTCCTCCATTGAGGATAATGCTCACTGTAGGCTTTTTAATAGATACATGTCATTTATAATACAAAATATAGTAGTATTCTACAATGTGAAAAGTGGTTCTCAGTTTTAACATATGCAAAAATCTAGCAAAAGGAAGCATAAAACCAATCAAATTCCTCTTAAACTAGTTTAAAATTTCCGTTTATACTTGATCAAAAGGACTCAAGGTAAAAAATTGTTTTCCTTAATATATCTTTAGAAATAAATATTACTCCTCAGTCCTCAGAGCAGTGTGTGAGTGTAATAAGAATTTCACTTTTATCAAGTTATCAACATGATATATTTCTTTTGGATATATCATATATCATGATATATTTCTTTTAGATTTCTAATATCAATTATAACTAGCTCTAGAAGTGTGACATTTCTAAAACTCCAATACTGTTAAATATTACTGAAATAAAAGTAACAGGGCAAAAATACATGGTACATAGATAAACCATTTTAAGAGTTATGTCTCATTTAAGAAAAAAATATAAAGTTTGGTTATAATTCATTTAATTTCTGTTACTCAAAACATATATTCCATATATATAATATAATAAAAGCTAACATAAAAGTGTTTATGTACCAGGAAAAAGGTAAATGGTCATAACAGTCTATCATTAAGGTATTCATTCTTTCAACATAAGTATTGAGCTTCTATTCTGGGCTACACACTAAAATAAATGCCACATACAGGTATGAAAAAGACAGTGCCTGCCCTTAGTGAGTTAGTATCTGGATAAGAAACAGGTACATAAACTAAAATTATATAATGTAAAATGAAAAGTCTTATAATGGGATTATGGTCAAGGAGTACGAAGACATAAAAAGAGTGCCCCAATTTCTGCCTTGGGTAGTCAAAGGAGGCTTGGAAAACTAACGTGGCTGCCATGAAGAAAGGATAATGAAGCACAAGAACCTTTTTTTCCTTCTTGCATTTTAAGCTTTAGGTTTTACATCATGAGAAAAGGCTCTTATCTTATTTTTATGTATTAAACCAGACATCAGAGATAAAAATCTATGTTAGAAACTACGTGTGTTTTTAAACAGTATTCCCCTTTAGACTACCATTATAAAATAATTCCTCCAAACTCAAATGCAAAACAGTCTTTGTGCTCTCATAACATCTCAATGTCCTCTGTACATGGAAAAATA